TCCTAATCTTAATCCAATTAAGTATCTGTAGAATGTGCAGGAAAAACAAAACCGATCCATGGAGCCACACCTAGCCACTTACAGGACTTACAGGACTTACAGATGTGCTACCTGATGGTTTGGTGTCCAATACCACAGCATGCAGAGGTCTTGTGCTGTCTATGTCTTGATGGGTCAGGGCTGTTTTGGAGGGGAAAGGGGGACCTGCTCAACATTAGGAGGGTTGTCCAAAGTTATGGCAGATATAGGGGCGGACTGACCATTTGGAAACTTGGGCACTGCCCGAGGGCCCGGGGTCAGTAGGGGGCCCCATGAGATGCCCCTGGTACCTTTTTCATTGGCTTTTTTGAGTTTGGGCAAGGACACAGGGGTACCATGATCCCCTATTGCCTGGGGCCCCATGAGTTGTCAGTCCGCCCCTGGGCAGATCAGTGTAGAATGTATTTAATGCCTATTATCACTCAATGTAAAAGCATTTGACCCTGCTAAAACTACCTGTAAACAGGCTGCTATTGTACATTAGTGGGGTTGTCACAAAGTTATGGCAGATCAGTATATAATGTATTTAATGCTTATTATTTACCTGTAAACTAATCCCTTGAGTAGACATCCAAAACCCTTAGACTGCTGCTGGGTGCTGCATCTTGGATGTGATGTTAGCACCTCTAGCAGATCAGAGCAACTCTTCAGTTTTCCCCTTTTTCTGCAACATAAACGATTATGTAGGAAAGTGATGGGAGGGAAGGATTTGCTGGGTCAGCACTGACAGTAATTGGACACTCCCAGAAGAGGAGAGGGCCATGACATGCAAGAAAGGAGAAGGCTGTGCTAGGGAATTGACATTCACATTGCAAATAAATAAAATAAATGTGTATATGTAAAGGAAAAACTTCAAGTAAGCATTTAAAATACTTGTTTTTCTATGATTTTACTTGCAATTTTTTAAGTTGGTGACAGTGGCTGCTGGGGTCGGTTGAGCAGCGTCCATCCCTTCACTTGTGGTGACAGGGGCTCTTTAAGTATGGCCATACTTTTCTGAAAAACGAAAACGTTTTTCCCCTTTCCTACAACATTCAGGTTATGTACATATTAAAAGAGAAACATTGGGAGGGGATTTACTAAAACTGGTGTACACAGAATCTGGTGCAACTGTGCACAGTAACCAATCAGCTTCTGTCGTCAGCTTATTCAATTAAGCTTTGACAATAAAACCTAGAAGCTGATGGGTTACTATGCACAGCTGCACCAGATTATGTGTGCAACAGTTTTAGTAAATCTCCCCCATACATACAAAGATCCCATTATATACCCATACACCATAAGCATTAGATAGAACTAGGATTCTGAAGGGTCACATTAAAGTATACCTATGTAAGCTTAATACATTATTAATAATGTTGTTCATGAGAAGCATTATACCATTCTCCCAGGACACTTAGGTTGTGTTGAGAGAGACAAATCCCTCGCAAGATATTTTTGCAACAGAAAGCAATAGTTAATTACTTTATCTTCTACAAATAACGGAAAGTATGATAGCATCTGGCTTTTGTATGCATCATTGTTGGCATATGAATACTGTACTATATTTATAATACATAGGGAATATATAAAGGACAGATTAACAAAATATTTCAGTAGAAGACACAGTACACTGCATTGATTTAAAGTGTAACTGCACAGTATACTACAGTATATTGTACCATGGCCTTCCCCCAGCCCCACCTGCAAGTCTAAAGCTGGCTATATATTGCTTGAATTATTAACAATTCTTACTAGCTTGGTTGAAATTTCAAGCAATGTGCGACCCTGCCAGCACCACTCCTTTCAACAAAAGTCAATTGTTCAATCAACTATTGTTAAAAAAGAAATTTGGCTTTTATTTTTTTTCCCCTAATTATACTTATCTAGGTGGATGCTACATCTATACACCGCAGACTAAGTGCGAGAACTCAGCGATCACATGTCCGCTGATTTTTCACAGCTGCTCTAAACAGAGAGCGGTGACTGTCATTCACTGCCGTTCGTTCTGCCCCCCCCCAGCGCTCACTGGAGCAGTGGGCTGTGGAGGGGGAAGGAGCGCCTGGCTGAGGCTCTCAGTGGAGCACTGAAAGGCTGAGCCAGGTGCCGCTCCAGACTCTAGGGTGGATCCCGACTTGAAAGCCGGAATTTTTCCCCAACCTGAACCAGTTGAGTGATGTCAGCTGACAACGGGTTTCAGCCTGCTGTCAACTGAAAAGGGGTCACAAGAGTGCAGAACGAACATACAGTCCTGTAATCCAGAACTTTGGCTGTACTTCTCCTGTAGGGAAATTATCAGCTGAACAACTCCTACATCCAATCAGACACAGGCAATGTTCAGGTATTCTGACAGCCAAGAGTGCCAGCAGTCAGAAAGGCAGTTACGAACATTCGAGTTACTAACAACTCATGGGGGGGAATAATTTGTTTTATAATGTGTGGTCATCTTTAGAAACCATTTTAGCATATTAATGACCACTTGTAGGGTATGCCTCTGGTTTATGTTTAATCTACTTTTTTTGGTTTTTCGGGATAACAAAAAGATACCTACTAAACATATCCAGTACAGCATTGAAAAAGGGCAAAGAGCACAGGAAAAACAAACATCTCCATTCACAGCAAAATAGAGAAGTCATCAAGGCATATAGTGGGAGGCAGCCACAGGGGCTACCCGGAACATCTCTAACTTAAATTCCAGCTCTGTGCAGACTTGTATCCCATCAAACAAGTAGCAAATGAAAATGACTATATTGCAATGAAGAAATATTAGAAATTTTACACTTGTAGAAAATCTTTTAGCTTGTAGTTATAATGAAGGAGTCCTATTTAAAGGAGAAATAGGGCCAAAGCTCTTTTGACCCTTCTCCTATGGATCACAGGAGTGCACTTAGCTAAAGCCCACTGTCAGCTGATGTCACAGAGCCAGCCCTGACTCTGGAGATATCCCAACGTTAATATCAGAATCTGCCCAGATGCCTGGACTAGCAGCTGGCTTGGCCTCCCAGCAACATGCCAACAGTGCCAGCAGTCAGAGCTCTCCAGTGAGTGCTGGAGGGGCAAAGCAGAAAGCCGATAACCAACAGTCACTGGCTCTCTGCTCACTGAAGGCTGACGACTGAGCAATCAGTGGTCTTTGATCACTCAGTTCTGGGTCTTAGAGGTGGCAGGGGACAAATGTAGCATTGGACCAAAGCTGTATCTACCTAGGTGAGTATGATTATTTGTTTTGTTTTTAAACCCAAACCTCTCTTATAATAAAAATAATATTAATAATAATAAAAAAAATGATAAAAAGGCTAGTGGCTAGGGTTGTTAGCATACACATGTATGGCCAGTTTAAAGCTGACCATACATACGTAGCTTTCTTATATACTCACTTGTCACCAATTCAGTCAGATATTGCTCATGAAATTGTAAAGTCACTTGTCAAAATCTTCTGAGTCAGGCAAGGCCTAGGCTGTATATTCATCATTCATTCCTATGAGTATCAGTGAGCAGTAAAGACTTGCAGGGGTGATGTGGGGAGGGGTAGGGTATATAGACCACAGTACAATACAAATTACCGTTTTATTTAAAAAAAAAAAAACACAAGTTTTGTATTTTTTCAGAGCAGGAACAAGGTCCAAAATGCGAGTCTCATGTTTATCGCAATGCACTTATCAACCAGTTTCCAAAGCAAAGCCAAAACACAATTTATCATCATCTGTCCACTTTTGTCAATTTCCAGCAAGAGAAAAATATGGGTGAGAAGTTGCTGAAAGAACTTACAAACGTCAATTTGTTTTCAGTAGGGTCTTTACTAGTGATGCAAACCAACCAATGGCATGTAAAGAAAATAGATCAGTCCCCTAGTAGCAGATAGTAGACATATTAATTTTTCCAATAACAATAATATGGTGGGCACTGCCAAGCTGCAGTGCATCATTAGTGACCTCTATTGGTCCAAGTTACTGAGTGTAGTACACTGCTGGAATATTCTGCTGTAAAATGGCAGCAAGGCTCTGTATGGGAGTTGCTGTCAATCATCATTAAAGCTCATCACTCGGCTTCACTTGCAGTACCTTTCCTGGATACCTGGCTCTCTAGCCTTTTGACACAGTTTCTTTCTGTAAGGCCCACCTCTGGTCTATGGATGGGGGTTTCCCTGACACCCCAATAGTAGCCGACCTGACTCCTTGAACCGAGACATCTGTCTCCCGGCTTCTGGCTGGGTCCTCTGACTCCTCAATAAGACCTTCTGTCTCCCCCACTGGGAGCGGTCTCCAACTGGGACCTCTGAGCTATTCTCAGACCCGAGTATATAACGGCACCTCACAGCTGTGTACTCCAGATTGCAAGTGTCTAGAAAAACCCGGACACAGGATTGCATGTTCCAATCTAGAGCTGCAGAAACCAGAGAAAGCCCGTACATACCTGTGCCGTTTGTGTGCTTGCCTCTTACAAAATCTGGTGTAAACTGCCTGCTCACACAGTGGCATGGCCTCCCCTTTTTGGTGGAGCACAGCCCTACTTTCTCAAGGCTGTGCTCCACCAATACTTCTATTGTATGTTGTATATTAAATTGTTTATTTTACTTTTATGTTTTTTGAGGTTTTTTTCATTTGTTTGTTTTATTGCAAGCTATGTCATGCCCATAACTTTGACAATGGCATTTTCTCTATTTCAGTGGGTGCACCCATACAGGTAAAATCGATACTTCCATTGATCTAAGATGCAAAAAGGAACAAGGTGTTTAATGTATTTATTTCTTATTATTACAGGTAACTTATATTACACCATCAATTTATGCAGAGCTTTACACATATATATTTCACATTCGCATCAGTCATTGCCAGGGGCGGACTGACAACTCATGGAGCCCCCGGGCAATAGGGGATCATGGGGCCCCTGTGTCCTCGCCCAAACTCAAAAAAGCCTATGAAAAAGGTACCAGGGGCATCTCATGGGGCCCTCTACTGACCCCGGGCCCTCGGGCGGTGCCCGAGTTTCCAAATGGTCAGTCCGCCCCTGGTCCCTGCCCTCAAGGAGCTTACAATCTAAGATTACAATTTTAAAGAGAAAGCTAATTGTTTCACTGCCTTTCTTACAAGGTAAAATTTGTCAGAAGTGGTGAGTTATGCTATAAGCTGATTATTATTCCCTCCTGTCTGATAGTCATGACCCTGATTGTTATGTGAGGTCTATTTTAACTCCATCGCTGTCCAGACTAATTCAGCTCCCACCCACACCACACTGACACTGAGCATTGTTGTGTTCCATCTCCCAAGCCGATCATTACATTAGTCCTAAGTTGTTCCACCCACTCTTACATGTATTACATGATTTTGTTCCATGCATTGCCTATTCATTGCATGGTTTACTTTGAAACATCCCACTTAACATTTTCTGCCTCATTCCCTCTGGCCATGTTTGTGTGCTCATTCTCTACAATTCTAGTTCTTATCCTGTATTTCTGTGCAACTCTAAATAGCAGCACTGACAGTTACCGACTAGAGTTGGCAATACACTATTAGAATTAGGTTCAAAACTGTTCCTTTTCCAATACTGAATCTCTTAATGGTGTCAAATTGATGTTAATGTTTTTTCAACTGCAGTGATGAAAATGAAGAAAAATCAAAGGAGCAGGATGGAAATTTTTTCTCAAACAAATTAAATTCTAACTGTGAATGTAGTTTTTATTCAGGAAAAATCATACATATTGTAAAAACAAAAACCTGTTTGACATGTCTAGGATCCAATTCAATTAAAAGTTTAAGGGACTTTGAATGAAATTAGTTGACTCAATGATGGCAGAATTTTTATAGCAATGTTTGAATCAACACGTAAGCTCTGGTTCACACTGAATGCAATTTTGAAATTGCTCTACTTTACTTGAAGTAGCATGATTTCAAAGTTGCAGATCAGTGAGATTTGTACCTCCGATTTCACTGTGGCTTGCTACTTAATTTAACAGACGTCAATGCATATCGCAATGAAATCAGTAGTGCAGGAACAATTTTTGAAATCGCACTACTTCAAATCGCACTTAATAAGACAGTGCCATAGGAATACATTAGATTTGATTTCTAAATAGCATGTTGGACCTGAAGTTGCACTGGTGTAAACCTGGGCTAACTATGTATGACTGTTTCTATTACCATTAGATGGAAGTCTCCAGATCTAGCCAAATTATTTATTGTGGCTGATTTTCTAAGAGAATTGAGAAAATGTACTCAAAAGGAGGGTTGATTCCATTTATTCAATCATTTATACAGGAATCCAAATAATTAATTTATCCAGTCGTGTGCAGATTTAAAAAATGAACAGAAATCAGCTTTTCAGATGCATAGTTAAAGTGAATATTCACTCTTTTTTTAGTGGACTTTCTCAACTCCTTTAATAAATCAATCAGTATGGTAAATTAGACAATGCAAATGAGGCATATGCAGACACATAGAGGTTGATTTAACCCTGGTTCACAGCGGTGTGACTTCAGTTGTAACATGCGATTTGAAGTAGCGTGATTTAAAAAAATATTCCTACACTATTTTTTTCCAATTTCATTGTGACTTGCATTGACTTCTGTTAAATGAAGTCGCAAGCCACAGTGAAATTGGAGGTACAAATCTCACTGGTCTGCAGATTTGAAATCACGCTACTTCAAAGTCACATTCAGTGTGAACCATGGCTTACTAACCCCTGGTTCACATATATGCAGCCGTGCGGGCTGCGTTTTGCATGGCTACGAGAGTCCATTCATTTGAATGGACTCCCGTGCCTCGTGACACGTAGAGAAGAAGTCCCTGCACTTCTTTCAAAAACGCAGCTCACACGGGAACCTCGGTTCCCAGTACGGTTGCATTTTCCAGTCCGGGCAGCATGCCAATAGAACTAATGGCACCCGCCCGCGGGTCCACTTTTTTCTGTGCGGGTGGTGCGGATGCACGGATTTTCGTGAGGATCCGCAGCAGCACCACCTGCACAGATGTGAATCTAGCCTAAGACTGGAGAGTGCAAAATCTGGCACAGCTGTGTATAGTAGCTAATCAGCTGGTCATACATGGGTCGAATTCCAAAATAATTTTCTTAAGAAAATCTTCTCTAAGAATTTTCATTCAAATTTTGCACCATAAGTGGGCTACAAAAATGGGCAATATTTGTGCGATCATCAAAATGAGTGATCGGGCAAGTTGGAAATTTTTTCAAAAATGAATGAATTTCTAATCAATGATGGCAGAATCATGCAAGTAATATAATCAAAAAAGAAATGAGCATGAGCTGTGACCTGCAAATAAAAGAAAATTCTTGGTCACGAAAATTCTTTTCTGTAGCAACATGTGAAATTGAAGGCTTGGTTGGTCGAATTTCGAAATCAATGGTGGCACCATTGGATTACAAAATTTCCAATTTTCTAAAGAAAATTTGTTCGGAATTCAACCCATGTATGACCTGCATAACTTTAGCTTGGTCAAATAGGCTTTGACAAAAAACCTGGAAGCTGATTTGTTTCTATGCACAGTTGCACTTGATTTTGCACTCTCCAGTTTTACCCTAGGTTCACACCTAAGTGTTTTCAGCAGCATTTTGCCGAAACACAATACAGTCCATTTAACATTATTTCCTATGGGAAACATTCACATCTCCGCGTTTTCAACCAATGCATTTTTTGGAAAGGGTCATGGACTTTTTTAATGCAAATTGTTGCATTTATGGTTCTGTAGACTTCAATGGAAACGCTGCAGAAAAGCATGTAGTGCATTTTTGCTGCGTTTTTGACGTGTTTTTGATGCATTTTGCTTTTACATTTATTAGTCTGCCTAGCAACAAGAAAAAAAGTTTATAAAAAAAACACAAAAATGCATCAAAAATGCAGCAAAAACGCAGGTGTAAAAATGCAAAACGCAATGCAGAAACAGCTCAAACGCAAACTGCATAGGTGTAAACCTAGCCTTAGTAAATCAACCCCATTGACTCGAAGATTATTATAGGAAACAGCATTTAACAGATTAAAAAACCTTGTCCAATTATTGTTTTCCCATTTGATTAAACAGCACCAGTGGGGTGTGCTCAGTACGGCCCTCACACTGCTCCATGGGCTACACTTAAGGTGACGATTTGTATTGGTGACCTAACAGGAGATGTAAATGCCTAAGAACAGTCAGATCATGTCTGTCTTTGGCCACCAGAAAATTGAGCCTACAGATAGGTGTCTGATCATTTGTTCCAGTGATCCCACCAGAACATAACCATTATTCAATGCATACGAATGGCAATGATAAGAAGCACTTAGGAATATCTCCATTAAGATAGACAGAAGTTTCAACATGTCAAGTGGCCAGCAAGGATGTACTTCAATATAGTCATGTATATTTCATACATAATTTATCTCCTACCTACTGTGTCCAACTAAAATATCTCAGTGAAGTTTGGTGAGTGAGTTACATGCTGTCTTCCTTTATTCCATGGGGACAGTTATGGTGATGTTTGCCAAATGCAGTTCAGAGCTCTTTTTCTGTGCTTGTAGTCATACTAGAAACCTGTGTGCAGATCTAGGAACCCAAGTGTAGATATCTCAACTTTGGAATCCCTAAGAGAAATATGAACCTGTGTTTTTGCTCTGTACCAATGCCAAAACAGATATATTAGTGATGGGTGGACATGCGCTTTAGGTAGTGAATTCCTTATACAATACTGTATATGAGAATTTTGGAGTTTTTAAAGTGCAGCTGCACCTATAAAATGAACATGAAACTATTTACATATTCTTTACAAGGCATTAAGAGACACATACAGTCAGGTCCATAAATATTGGGACATCGACACAATTCTAACATTTTTGGCTCTATACACCACCACAATGGATTTGAAATGAAACGAACAAGATGTGCTTTAACTGCAGACTGTCAGCTTTAATTTGAGGGTATTTACATCCACATCAGGTGAACGGTGTAGGAATTACAACAGTTTGCATATGTGCCTCCCACTTGTTAACGGACCAAAAGTAATGGGACAAAATAATAATCATAAATCAAACTTTCACTTTTTAATACTTGGTTGCAAATCCTTTGCAGTCAATTACAGCCTGAAGTCTGGAACGCATAGACATCACCAGACGATGGGTTTCATCCCTGGTGATGCTCTGCCAGGCCTCTACTGCAACTGTCTTCAGTTCCTGCTTGTTCTTGGGGCATTTTCCCTTCAGTTTTGTCTTCAGCAAGTGAAATGCATGCTCAATCGGATTCAGGTCAGGTGATTGACTTGGCCGTTGCATAACATTCCACTTCTTTCCCTTAAAAAACTCTTTGGTTGCTTTTGCAGTATGCTTTGGGTCATTGTCCATCTGCACTGTGAAGCGGCGTCCAATGAGTTGTGAAGCATTTTGCTGAATATGAGCAGATAATATTGCCCGAAACACTTCAGAAATTCATCCGGCTGCTTTTGTCAGCAGTCACATCATCAATAAATACAAGAGAACCAGTTCCATTGGCAGCCATACATGCCCACGCCATGACACTACCCCCACCATGCTTCACTGATGAGGTGGTATGCTTAGGATCATGAGCAGTTCCTTTCCTTCTCCATACTCTTCTCTTCCCATCACTCTGGTACAAGTTGATCTCGGTCTCATCTGTCCATAGGATGTTGTTCCAGAACTGGGAAGGCTTTTTTAGATGTCGTTTGGCAAACTCTAATCTGGCCTTCCTGTTTTTGAGACTCACCAATGGTTCATATCTTGTGGTGAACCCTCTGTATTCACTCTGGTGAAGTCTTCTCTTGATTGTTGACTTTGACACACATACACCTACCTCTGGAGAGTGTTCTTGATCTGGCCAACTGTTGTGAAGGGTGTTTTCTTCACCAGGGAAAGAATTCTTCGGTCATCCACCACAGTTGTTTTCTGTGGTCTTCCGGGGTCTTTTGGGGTTGCTGAGCTCACCAGTGAGTTCCTTCTTTTTAAGAATGTTCCAAACAGTTGTTTTGGCCATGCCTAATGTTTTTGATATCTCTCTGATGGGTTTGTTTTGTTTTTTCCAGCCTAATGATGGCTTGCTTCACTGATAGTGACAGCTCTTTGGATCTCATCTTGAGAGTTGACAGCAACAGATTCCAAATGCAAATAACACACTTGAAATGAACTCTGGACCTTTTATCTGCTCATTGTAATTGGGATAATGAGGGAATAACAGACACCTGGCCATGGAACAGCTGAGAAGCCAATTGTCCCATTACTTTTAGTCCCTTAACAAGTGGGAGGCACATATGCAAACTGTTGTAATTCCTACACCATTCACCTGATTTGGATGTAAATACCCTCAAATTAAAGCTGACCGTCTGCAGTTAAAGCACATTTTGTTTGTTTCATTTCAAATCCATTGTGGTGGTGTATAGAGCTAAAAATGTTAGAATTGTGTCGATGTCCCAATATTTATGGACCTGACTGTAACTCACCTTTCGAGAACTTTTAGGCCTCATTCACACTATACGTGCATAAAAACAGATGGAAACTGACACGCAGATTTCACTTGCAGAGACATCAGTTTACATTGGGTTTTCATGCACACTTCATTGAGTTTTATACACATGATCTTGTGACTTCAGTAATTTCCAAGTCACTGGTCTTGAACAAGCTTGCAGCCAGTGAAGGCAGGACTCCTTATTTTACAACGGTGTGAACTCAGATAGGGAGTAAGATCAAATAAGAAGGTTCTCTTTATGAGAAAGTCATTGTAGAGAAAGTGTGTGTTACAACTTGCCTGAAATAGTTTAATCTTGCCTGTATGTCCCTCACCCTAAATCTATGGATGGTCTAAGGTGGAGGTCAGCAACCAGTAGATCGTGGTCTTCCAGTAGATCTTGGCCAGGTGACTGGTAGATTGCGGTCTGGGCTTGCTGACCCACCATCCTAGAGCATCAAACAGAGAAAAGGGACTACTTGTATAGTTGAAGCTGTAGTAGGGAGCAAGAGCCACATAAGCCGATGCCTCCTCTGTAGTGCTGGCTCATGCCCCATGTAGAGTGATACCAACTGCACTCCACCTCTTACCCTGGCTAGTGGTTTCCAGACTGGTGCAGCAGCTAGAAACGATCTTTAGGTCAGTATGAAGCAATACACTGGATGTGATAGTATAGGGCTGCTTTCACACTGATGTGCTGCGGTTTACCCACACCGCAGGTGCAGTGCCGTGTACCTGCAGCTTTCCTGGGGGGTTTCTGTGCTTAGCCATAGACTTATATTATATCCTGAAGATTTGGCGCACTTTCTGAAAGCATACCAAAACTCCTGAATGCAGGCCTTTTGGTGCGCTTTCAGAAAGTGCACCACACCTGCAGGATATACCGAATTGAATTCTATGGCAAAGTGCAGCTAACCCAAGAAAGTTGCAGATACAATGCGCTGCACCCATTGTGCAGGTAAACGGCAGCACATCAGTGTGAAAGCTGCCTTATAGGGGGCTCAAAACAGTAAGGGTTCATTTACATTTGTAGTTTGGGTAAAACCGCATAGTTAAGATGTGTTTTTACTACCCCTGCCCCAACCACACCCCCTTTAGCTGCAGTGGCCAGGGATGTCACAGCTGCAGCAGGAGTTATATGCCCTGTCATGGGTGGTAGGTGTAGTACCTGCTAAGCATGACCCATTCAAGTGAATGAGCCCCTCTTCAAGTGCCCTGTATCCTTATGCAGTACAGAAAACAAGGGGTTAAAGCAGGCAGTATTGCGTTGCTTTCTCACCACTTGCTTTAACCCCTTGAACCCTGCAGACACATGCAGTTGCGGGATGCTTGCAGAGTGGCCCCATTTACTTGAATGGGTTGCTATTGACATGCGATAGCACCCACCAAAAGCAACAGAGGGTTTAATTCCTGCTGTGGCATGTGTACATCTTTGGCTACTGCCTCAGCAGGTAAAAGGGGGTAGAGATTGGTGGTGGTAAAAGCGCAACTCAACCGCAGGGTTTTACCACCCCCAAGCTTTCTGTGTGAACAAGCCTTAAGGGTGCACTACTAAATGCAACTAAGGGCTCATTCACATGTGCAGCAGGCACTGCTGCTCCTCTGAAAATTGTGTATGTGAGTGTGTTTGACAGGTGGTGGCTGATGATATGTTGCCTCTTCACCCCCTGATTTAAATCCATGATTGCCATGCAATGCTCATGATTGTGATATAGTTGCACAGGAATTAGAGGTCTAAATCAGGTGTGAGGAGGCAACACTGTGCCTGGTGATCTTTGACTTCTCTCATGTTGTTCAGGTAGACCTCCACCTCTGTAAGGTTGCCTACCCCTGGTCTAAGGTCTAGAAGGGTTGCAGGAGTCTACAGTAAAATATGCTGTATTCTGAGAGCCCTGGCTGGGATTCATATCATTCATGTAGGTCAGCCCATTCTTTTCATTGGGCTGCCCCATGCATGAGAAATGCTGAACAGAAGTCCCTGCTGATTTTTTGGAAAGCGCGCTGAACCAACAGCTGTGGCACCATGCATTTTTGTGTGCGCGTTCACAGATGTGTGGATGTCCCATTAAGAATGAATGGCACTAATGTGTGTTTGCAAAAGTTTCTATGCATTGCAGGAAAGGAAGCAATTTTGCACACGTTCATGCAATGCTAAGGCTATATATACACTTGAACAATGTGATGCATTGCATTTTCCATCCCACGTTTTGGCGCAACAGCCCATCAACTTAAATGGAATGCCCATTGGGCAACAAAAGTGCCAAAAAAGCTCTAGTATTTTTTGGCACTGAAGCCAAGCACACTTGGTGATGGGCATTTTTGTACATTGAATGAAAGAGAGAGAGAAAGAGGAATGAGGGGGGAGATAAAGGGAGAGAGTGAGATAAATATAGAGAGGGAAGAGGGAGAGAGAAAGAGTAAGAAAGAAAGATGGGGGAGAGAGAGAGAAAGGTAGAGATAAAGAAAGAGAGGGAAGAGGGAGAGAGAAAGAGTAATAAAGAAAGATGGGGGAGAGAGAGAAAGGTAGAGATAAAGAAAGGAAAGGGAGAGAGAAAAGGAGTAAGAAAGAAAGAAAGAAAAAGAAAGATGGGAGAGAGAGAGAGAGAGAGAGAGGGGGGGGGGGTAAAAGAAAGAAAAGAGATAGAGATAAAGAAAGGGAAGGGAGAGAGAAGGGAGTAAGAAAGAAAGAAAAAGAAAGATGGGGGTGAGAGAGAGAAAGGTAGAGAGAGAAAGAAATGTAGAGATAAAGAAAGGGAAGGGAGAGGGATTTATTAAAATAAAAATTTAACAGAACATGTTGATTCTGTAAAATAAAGTACCATACAAATATATACTCACATTATTTATACATCAAAAGTTGTTTTTTGTTTTTTTTCATAACACATAAAAATAATTCTCACTTTTCCATAAAACTGATATTTCTGATCTTAGGGGAATCATGTGTTTTCCATCAACATACCAAACGTTTTGAAGGGTCCCTGGGTCCTCCAGTACTGATGTTCTTATCAATACAATGCAATAATAGAAAAGTACTTCATATTTGTACCCTTGGGATTGTGAGTGATAAAACAGAGATCCCACTCAGTGATGATAGTAGACTGTGACATCACAATACCCCCCTTGTCTGAGCTGAACTGTGACTGACCCTGGCTCCCTGCATAGATTGGGTGGGAAGCATGCCATCCTGTTGTCACAATGTCACAGATATAGGCTGGCCTTCGTTTTCTACAGAAATAAACATTTAAAAAGGAAGCGTGTACACTGAAACTTCCTTTACCAAATACACTTTTGTCTCTTGACACATTTGATCTTCACAAAGGACATCTGATAGGACATTAACAAGTGCCAGCCTCCATTCCCAATCTAAAGTTTCCCAAGAGGTGTGTACAAAGCTGAACGTACAAAGTGTCCCGGCAAATCAGGGTTGTTTCCTAAATGTGCCTTTTTTTTAAGCGAAGGGGGGTTTGATTCTTATCAAAGAAAGGGACATTGCAATATCAAAGATGACCAGGGGAAGCCAGGGGTCACGACACAGGTGACCGTCTTTGAAGTGTCATCCCAGCAAGAAGGTCTGTTGTTCCAAGCAGGGACTCATTTACATTAGATAGCTGGGAGCAGATGGTCAGAAGTAAAGTAAACGACACATCGTGTAGATATAGATTGGGTGTGTTTAGTAGAAAAAGCGAATTCTTGGACATTACATTAGAAATATATAATAATGTTCTCATGGTCACTGGAAATGGCAGCATCCCGACAATTACAGCAAACGCACCGTCATTAGATGTATCGTGTATACAAAACTCTTTATAACTTCCATCATCCAATTACAATAAATGCATAAATAACGAAGAAAACATGGAATGGGTGTTGGCAGCGTTTACTAGCTACCCGATCAACTTCCCAACTAGTAAAAAAGATTTGATTTAGCAGATAGAAGGTGTCGCCTCTCCTGCAGTTCAAAAACTTCACCGAACCTTCCAAAAGTAACTTTTTGGGTTTAAGCCACGCCCACTTTCTGCAGTCCACATTGGGCGGTGTCAGCAATTGCTCCACTGACTGTACTCCTAGGAAACCTAGTGATGGGGCATTGGCTGGAATTGTTCGGTATGCTGTCATTTCCACTGACCCTGTGAACTTGTTGAAAAGAAGCAGACACGTGTGCTTCAGATTTGATGAGGCTTTTGTGATGCTCACTTTGAAAGTGAGAATTTGTCATTCTCCCAGCCAGGGACCCGTTTGAAGTGGAACTCTTCTTTAATATGCAAAAAGTTTGAATCTACAGAACAACCAAGCTTACATATACTCTTGGTTTTCTTTTGGATTACAAAGTAGACAAGGTTGATGTTCCCATGATGGACTTTGAGTGACCTTTTCATGTTCCCACATGAACCCCACCCCCCCCCAAAAAAAAAAATTAAAAAAAAAAGTTTAAAAACACAACCATCCACATAGAAATTAAATACATTTTGTACTTTTTCTCATTTAGTAGCCACACACTAAACTGTACATTTTCTATGTTAAAATTATTATTGTACACAAATACATGAAGTTGAATAGTTTTTCCAGTTTTATTTTGTATTTAAAAATATATATACACAGCAATTACATTAGAAACCAAGCCATGTGGCCAAATAATATCTGAGGTATCAAAAACAATCTCACAGTGAAAAACCAATTTTAAAGGCAATAGTGCAAATTTTAAATAAGATTAAGAAAACAGTTTGCATCCCAATTCCATCTTTGGTTGAGCACATGGATGCCACCAAGCTGGAGCCATAGATGGAACGATTTTGAACCGGTTTCGAAGGCATGTTGCAATAACAGTTGGATTGTGTTGAAAATTATAACAAAATGTCCGATAAATAGTCGGATAATGAAATTATTTACTAATGTAGATTAAAAAAATAAATAAAATCGCCAGATGATTGGCAAAGAGATTGGGGGGGGGGGGTGCTATAAAGTGGCTGTGCAAAATCAGCAACACCAATAAAACAAAAATAATTGGGATGTGCATTTTCCTAGAAAAAAAAAAAAAAAGAAGGAGGAGGGCTTATTTCAAACAACGATTGCTTACATTTTTTGAACAGTTATGGCTTTTCGATTTTTTTTTTGCAAAAGTCAAATCCTCATATTGAATGAAAAAAAAAATAAAAATCACCCCATCTATGGCCATCCAAAGTGAATGGGCATCAGTACTTGCATAGTGAGGTGCATGCATGGCATGACCCTTTAAGTAAACTCAATAGACCAACACAAAGAAATGATTATTAGAAGATCCTAACCAGGATTCGTTGTGTTGCATGCGACTTTCCCTGAATACAGCAAAGAGGAGACTATATCTGGGCTATTTCTCTTTAAATATACAATGTTCATTCTCATTCAGCCACCCAGAAAAAGTACAATAGCATTGCATAGTGCAAAGGCAGCAGATGTCCTGAAATCAGAACTGTAAGTGTCCCTAGGAAGAAGGGATCTCATTGGATGGGGAAAGGGGCTCAGTCTTATGGGCTGATTTCTGCTGAAAGTCCACAGTGACAGTTCCTGGATTTGGGGGGCTTGGCAGGATCCCTTCCCTCTCCCTTTTCTTCTGCTTCATCCTTCTGTTCTGGAACCAGATCTTCACCTGGGTGTCATTCAACTGGAGGGAGTTGGCAATCTCTATGCGCCTGGCTCTGGTCAAATACTTGTTAAAGTGAAATTCTTTCTCCAGTTCTGTGAGTTGTTTGGTGGTGAAGTTTGTCCTCATTGTGCTGGGAGGATTGCTCATTCCATATTCAGAAGGGGAGGCTGCCAAGGGGATAAAAACTGTTACAATCAGCTACAAAAGAAGAATTACTGAACACAAATTGATACATTGTTACCATCTGCTTTATGTTTCAACAAAACCAAAATGTCCATGTATAGAGCTACTTTTATATACAAGGGGGGGGGGGGGGGGTTTACTTAAACTGGCCATGTACTCAGTCCTATGTTTTATACAATCTGCTTTAGAGTTACAAAAACTAAGGACATACCTAAACAACTAATTTAATTTGGGGGTTACTTACTAGACATACCTAAACAACTGATTTAATTTGGGGGTTACTTACTAGACATACCTAAACAACTGATTTAATTTGGGGGTTATTTACTAAAAATGGAGAGTGCAAAATCAGGTGCATCTCAGTATAAAAACTAAACAGCTTCCAGGTTTTATTGTCAAAGCTTAAAATTGAACAAGCTGAAGTTAGGCTGGCCAATTTTTTACCCAATTTCCTTTAGATTTACCTTCAACTATGTAGTGCAAGGACCTGCCTACTTGGATACAATTGAAAGTGTTGTTTCGGTTTGACCTCATATTATATGGTTTTTGGTAAATCTAAAGTAAAATTCTCAGGAAAAAATTGTATGATGTATGGCCAGCCTTAGAGGCGGATTGGCTACCATGCACAGCTGCACCAGATTATGAAGGCTCCAGTTTTAGTTAATTTACCCCTATGTATCCATTCAAGCAGACTTGTACTACATAGTTCAGGGCAGATCTAAAGGTGATTGTACTGTGTATGGCCATCCTGAAAATGGTTGCAACCAACCAGCTTATAACATCAGCTTGTTCAGTTAGAAGGAAGAAGCCGATTGGCTGCAATGCACATCTGTTCCAGTCTTAGCAAATTCTCTTTTAGACTAAAATGTATTTATCAATATTTTTACACAAGATTCACCTTTTGTTCCATCTAGGACTCTCATAGATAAAAATGGTGAATTATGGGTGACAAGTAGATAATCAAAACAAAAAAAAAAAAAAAAAAAAAGTACAAATAAATCAATTTCAAAAATGTACAAATTTGCTCACGCAGTTCGTACATTTTAATAAAAATCCGTTGATTCGCATTACAAATGACATGCATTAAGGAAACTGGTGACTCTCTTTGTACTTACTTTTCTTAGGAGCGTTCCGCTTAACTTTCATCCAATCAAAAGTGTTGGGTTTGCTGTGTGTCTCGGAGACTGGGGAGTTGGGTTTGGGGTAGGAGCCAGGAGAAGGGGAGAGGTTTTGGAAGCTCCCAGGGTGGAGGTCCAGCTGCTCCTTCCGTGGCCCCCCCTGAGTGTCCTCCCCAAAGGTCTTGTAGGAGAGCTGCCCATTCAGAAAATACGGTCCGTTCCCTGGGAAGACCGGACCAGTGTATTGGATGTGTCCCCCAGGATCCTCCATAGATCCATAGGAAAAGTCGTAGTCGGGGCTGACTGGTAGGTAGTTGTAGTCAGCAGGTGCGCTCGGTTCATAAGGGACGTCCAGGCTGCACGGAGCATACAGTGCTGAGGACTGGTGGGACCCCTGATGGACACCGATCTGTAGACTGCCTGCATAGTGAGTGTCCACCCCATTCCCGGGATAGGGCTGCAGGGAGCCCTCTCTGCAGAATTTGGGTGAGAAGGTTACAACATCCCCACACGATGTGTACTCCAGGTAAGAAGTCATTTCCCGGGGGAGTCCTGGCTGGAGCAGCGCTGGGTCTTCAGAATGGGACCGCCAGGGTCACTCCGAGCTTCACCTGATCCTGTCTTGTGCACTTCTTTCATTCCTGAGCAAGTAAATATTGCCCGGTGGAGAGAGGGCTGGTCACATGTTAGCAGGCAGCCAATCAGGGGAGAGCCTAGCTGGGACTCCAGGTGGAGCTCACAGTTGGTGGGACAGTGAGCGGACTTTTAAAAACTTTGATGAATGAAAAGCACCCTGATGGCTCCTAGATTGTACTGCTCACAAATGTAGTATTCCCTGCCTCGGATTCCTATCCAGAGAAACCCAGCCTGAGTTATGTTCCGTGCAATCAGATCCACAAGATCTTTTCGTCGATCTTCCCATGATTAAATCTCAATCTGCTCTCACACTGATAGACCGACAGCCCCCTCAAATCATCAAACCTGGGGTTCCTCTCCACCTCCAGATTTCTAGGTTTCCCAATGAACCTTCAAGCACCCTTTACTTCCCAGCTCCTCTATCAAGTCTCTAAATCTTCGAAATCAGAGTTTAGGCTCATTCTCATCAAATCTTTAGGTCCCCTCTTATCACCAAAATGTCCAACTTCCCTCTTCTCATCCGATCTCTAAATCATCTCTACTCATCAAATATAAATCATTTCTACTCCTCAGATCCCCAGCTCACCTCTACTCATCAGATCTCCATCTCCCGTTTACTCATTAGATCCCCATATAACCTCTACTCATCGGATATCCAACTTCTCTCTACTCCTCAGATCCCCAACTCCTCTCTACTCAGAACTTTAAATCATCTCTACTACTAAGATCGCCATCGTATCTCTATTCACTGGATCTCTAAATCATTTCTACTCCTCAGATCCCCAACCAGATTCTCATCTTCTCTTCTCATTAGATCCCCCATCTTCCCTCTATTAATCAGATCTCCAACTCCTCTTTATTCATGTGTTCTCCAACTTCTCTCTACGGATTAGTTCTCTAACTCATCAGTTTTCCAATTCTTCTCTACCCTTTAGATCTCCATCTCCTCCACTAATCTCCAGATCTCATCTTGTCAGCAGATCATCTCCCATCCACACATAATATCTCCAGATCATGTCCATCTTTACTGTCAATCTCATAAAATATAACTGCTGACTTCCATTTCTCTCCAACTCCCCTCTTGTCATTAAATCTCCAGCTCCCCTACACCCAATAGATGTTCATCTCCTCCCATTAATTCCTAAAATCGCTAATTTAATTCTACCTCTAGATTGTCAGCTCCTCTCCAGTCATCAGATGTCCATCTCCCCCAATTCTTACGTTTTCCAGCTTCCCTCCAACCCAATGATCCTAATCTCCTCTCCACTCAACAGAGATCCATCTCTCCCAATTCCTAAATATTCCAGTTTCCCTCTAATCCAATGATCCTAATCTCCTCTCCACTCAACAGATGTCCATCTCCCCCATTCCTAAAATTTCCTGCTTCCCCCTAACTCAATGATCCTAATCTCCTCTCCACTCAACAGATGTCCATCTCCCTCAATTCCTAACTTTTCCAGCTTTCCCCTAACCCAATGATCCTAATCTCCTCTCCACTCAACAGATGTCCATCTCCCCCCATTCCTAAATTTCCTGCTTCCCCCTAACCCAATGATCCTAATCTCCTCTCCACTCAACAGATGTCCATCTCCCCCCATTCCTAAATTTTCCTGCTTCCCCCTAACCCAATGATCCTAATCTCCCCTCTACTCAACAGATGTCCATTTCCCTCAACTCCTAACTTTTCCAGCTTTCCCCTAACCCAATGATCATAATCTCCTCTCCACTCAACAGATGTCCATCTCCCCCCAATTCCTAAATTCTCCAGCTTCCCCCTAACCCAATGATCCTAATCTCCTCTCCACTCAACAGATGTCCATCTCCCCCCAATTCCTAAATTCTCCAGCTTCCCCTTCTCGTAAGATCTCCAGCTCTTCTCCACTCCTCAGATCTCCAGCTCATTCCTACAGCAGATCCCCAGTTCTGATCTTCTTCCATCCTCCTTCATGGATCTCCTCCAGCCCCGAGATGAGAAGTGCTTTCTGCTGTATTGCTGACACAACTGCCGGTGATGATAAGAGCAGAGAAAGCTGCTTCTCCGGAGAGTTTCACTCTACAGATCAATATCTTTAAAACTCCTATGAAAGATGTTTGCCGGTCGATTGGTTTCACCGCCTCCCAAATGTACCCTGCACTGTACATTATTAATTATATTTAATTACTCACAGCCTGCGCATCTGTAACAAGGACGTGTCCTCAGCACACACAATTGTATAGAATGCTACTGTGTGCTGAGTGTATAATGCAAGGATCACCACTGTGTTCAGACAACAGAACCATAAAATAAAATGATGGGCATGACGGTTAAACGATGTTCCTCCAGCCATCTCCTTGCTTACCACTGACTGCAGCTAATGGATGTGGTCAAAGTGCTGCTCCCCCCAATCTAGGGATCAGGATAGTAATGGCTCCAGTGGTATCCCCTGATAATACTGAAACTCACAGGGCTATGGAATCTCTGGATATCTTACTCAGCTGGCTGAGGCTTTCTACAGAACAATAAAACAATTTGATTACAATGCACCTGAGACAAGGACATCCCTTATGTCCTCATAGCCGCTGCCTGACCTTCCATTAAATCACTGGAATGCTACTGGATGTATAACCTCAGTTCAGCACAAGCAGTGCTTTATTTCTTCTCTCTTCCAAAACAACCACTAAGTAATAAGATGTGTTCCTATCACAGCCAGAATTGAATCTATTTCAATGACCAAACACTTTGCAATCTCATTGTGCAAACTCTTGTGGTGGCCATACACATAACAATCTGAATGAACGATTCTTCACAGACTTGGACTATATGATCAAATCTATGAATTATCGAAAAACCGCATAATGGGGAGATTCAAAAAAGTCTTGCAGACACTCTTTAGAATTTCCTTGAACCTTTGCACTGAAATTGTTGCTGTTTGTGACAGATTCATGTAGCTGTCAGGAACAGGTACATGTATCTATCTTAGACAGCCCATACTAATTTTTTTTGTTCAACCAGCAAGTTAAATAAATTAAAAAAAAAAGATTACTTGATTAACCAACCCATACACTCGATGTGGATAGGGGAATCACACCTACTGTGCCATTTGACAGCGGGGAGACTTCCCTGCTATATGAATACACTGATCAGTACTGCCGGCTATAGCCAGTGGTGCTGATTGTGCAGAAAGTTTCCAACAGGCTGTTTGTACAGAAGTCAGCTGAACCTGTTTTGATCCATTTATGGCCGGGTTTAGGAGGTGACACTCCATCCTCAAGGCAGCTCAGTATTACTGAGCTTTCTCCCCAGCCAATGGTGCAAGGAAAGGAGCCAAAGGAGCAGGGCCAAGGAAATGGGGTTACCACCAGTCCTCATCTAAGGGGGGGGTCCAGGCAGCTGGGTGAATCAGATGTGGGCAGTGAGGGTAATCAGCAAGGGGGGGGGAGGGGTGGCAAATATTGGAACCAACTCCCTGTATGGCTATCTCTGCAGCAGCAGAAAGCTGGATTCTTTTCCTTTCCAGTTCCAATAATTGCCCTCCCCGCACCCATCACCCTCCCTGTGCACCCTTCTACTCAGGTCCCCCTGTGTGCCCCCGCAGTGCTGCTGACTTCCATCCTCTCCTTCCAACCGGCAGCTGCAAGCACACAATAAGATCCTCCAGGATGGAGAGTTAGGAAAGGGTCCAGTAAATATGTCATTTTTAAGAGCCCCTTCCTTTCCTGAATGAACACAATGAGTGATTGGTACCAATCACACACTGTGTCTATTTATAAATGAACCATAGTGAACTGTGTTTTTTTTTTTTTTTAGGGGGGGGCTGTCAGGAGTGGAGTGGGTGGCTGAAGCCTGATGGGGAGCTCTGAAACTAGTTCCCCATTGGGTGTGCCTGCTGTGTGACTTGTCATTGGCCAGATATGGGCTTTGCCCTATCTTGATGATGATGCCAGCCAAAATCCCCTCCACATTTGTTTACATTCAGCCTTCAGTCAGGGAATCTCCTGGCATGGTTGCATCCTAGCAGGCACAAGCATTGTGTGGGAAGTTGTCACATTCATGACAGCTTCCCAGTACAAAATGCCCCACTCTTAGCTCTAGCATTTCTCTGTATGCAAGCTCAGAGTCAGTCTTAAAGCGGTAGTAAACTGCAAAAAAATTTCCCTCTGCAAGGTAATGTCATAATGTGCTAGTATGCATCGCATACTAGCACATTATGAAGGAGTTACCTTAAAATGAAGTCCTCCAGCGGCACGCTGTCACCGCTGCAGAGGCTTCCATCTTTACCCGGTCTTCCTTCTGGGTTTGCGAGCTCCGGCCATCTGACTGGCCGAGCCGTGGTGACTTCACTCCAGTGCATGCGCGTGAGTTCCGGGCCATGGCACAGTGCTATGGCCAGGGGGGGACTGACCATTTGGAAACTCGGGCACTGCCCAAGGGCCCGGGGTCAGTAGAGGGCCCCATGAGATGCCCCTGGTACCTTTTTCATAGGCTTTTTTGAGTATGGGCAAGGACACAGGGCCCCATGATCCCCTATTGCCCGGGGGCCCCATGAGTTGTTAGTCTGCCCCTGGCTCTGTAGGAATGGCACAGCTGTCAAAAGCAGCAAATATCTCCTAAACGGTGCACATTTAGGAGATATTCATTTACCCTACAGGTAATCT